GGCTGCGGCAGGAAGTGGCAAGAAAGACAGAGTACGTGTGCTTGAAGTAAGGGGACATCTCGAGGGGATTCCTGGCACTGTATCCTACTGTAATAATTTTACAAAGCGAAGCATTCACTACGTCTTGCTCACACCTCAGACGTACAAAGCTGCATTTCACTACAAGTGTGAAAAACGCCAGTGGGAGTGAAGTGCAGATCCCGTCACGACATCCTCTACTCCAGCTACTCTCCCGTGGTCAGAGAGGGCCAGCTGGAGCCCTCCCTGTGCTCTTCCTCCTGCTTCACTGAGGCAAGGCTGTGGCACTGACAGTGCCTGAGTGCCCAGCCCCGGAGAGCTGAGGGGTGGGGAGTCCCCTCTCCCAGCAGGAAACCCCAAGAGGACCTCTGGGCCGTGTGGCTGACGATCCTTTCTGTCTTCTCAACTTAGCACGACCAAAAGCAAACTCAGTTCCTCCCACAACCACCTCTGTCTGAGTAAACCGCAGTTCTGATTTTCAGTTGTTTAGGTAAAAACCTTGGAGTCCTACCGGGGGCCGATCAGACCCTCAGCTACCTTCTGGGGGAGCAACAAGGAATAAGAGGAAAGAGAGACCATTTTCAAGATATAAATGGGGACTGGGAGAGACCTGCCTCTAGCAGACAGGCTGGAATAAAGCTCCGAGGCTGGCCTGCTTGTAGTAGCCAGTGAGAAGCGCAGGGGAGGGGTAGCACGCGTTGCACGGAACAGCAACTGTACAGAATGGGTGGATAAGGACCAGGTTATTGAGGAGCCAGATTTTCTCTACCCCCAAGTGCCTGTACGTTGACAACTGTCCTCATAGATGCTGTCTTGCCGTAGGTAGGCAGGGGCACGTGGCCTCCTGCACTTCCCCTTTCCCCAGGCAGGATAACATGGACTTCGCAACTGTGCGATCTGAGTTACGTACCCCAGGCCCCAGCAGAGCCGTTCTTGACTTCCTTGCTTTCCTCACACCTGGCATCCCAACCGCCAGCAAATCCTGGGCTCTGCTTAAAATCAGGGGCCGCTGTCCTCACCTCACTGCCACTGCCCTGGCCCAAGCCATCCCCCACGCCCCCGGTCGGAGTAGCATCCAAACTCACCCCAGCAGCTGGAGGGACCCTTGCAGCTCATCAGATCACACCCTGCCTCGGCTAGAGACACTCCAGAGGTTTTCATGTCACTGAGAGCTGGTTTAAGGCAAAGGCATCACAGGGCTTGTACATGCCTAGGTCCCCCCCTCCTGCCAGCCACCCCATCTGCTCATTCTGTCCCCCCATGGGGACCTTCTCTTTGTTCTTAACACACCAGGCAAGCTCCTGCCTTGGAAGCCCTTGCTCTTCTCTGAGCCAAGAGGGCTCCTCCCTTAGATGTGGGCTTCCTTCCCATCCCTGATGTGCAGTTGGACTTGATTGGCTGGGACCCGGCCAGAGGACTGGAGGAGCACACTTTGGGTGTGTCAGGGTGGGTCGTGGAGGTGTGGCCTTGGGATCTATGTCTGGCCCCTCACCTCTTCCCCTCTGGCTCGGTTCCCCTGCTCCCCTTCCTGGCCACCAGGAGCTGAGCAGTTGCTCTGGCACGCCCTTCTGCCATGATGCACCTGCCTTGGGGCAGCCAACCATGGACTGGAACTGGGCAAATTAAACCTCTCCTCCTCCTAAAAGTTGTGGGTTGAGTATTGTGTCCCAGCGATGGCAGGCTGACCAACAGTCTCTGATGGAGGTTTTCTTGTGCTCAGGCTACTCAATTCCAGCTCTCTCTCCCTACATGCCCTGTCACCTTGTTTTATATAATTAAAGTTAGGAGATAATCAAAGCACTATTTCATAAATTTCATGGTGTACTGCCGCACAAAGAGATTTTTTTCTTTTGCTCAAAATGATTAAAGAGGAGGAGAAAAATGAGAGCCAGCCTCCCAGGAGCCCACTTGACAGATGAGGTTCATTGACCCCTAATGAGCGGGGTCTCATTCTGTGAGAGTGCACCATTAAAGCCAGGTGCTTGGGATGGAAGCAGGCCTCTGTGGGAAGTCAAGTCTAACTGAAGTTTAAGACACATTTTATACGGGGCTCCCCGGAGTGGCGGCTTGACCAACACCAGATGTCCACAGTGACACGTAAGGAAGTGCCAGTGTTGTGCCCAAGGCTTCAGAACTCAAGGCTAATGATGCATGGCCTGCTCCGGCTCACAGGCAGCTCCGGGAAGGGCTGGTGGGAGCCACACAGCCTGGTTCCCTGGGTCTGCCAAGCCCGTAGCCCAGAGATGCAGCATTTTGGAGCTCAGTGGTTGACAGTAACTCTGATAAGGTGAGATTGGAGAAAGTGTAACACAACATTTCATGTGAAAAGCAACATACTTCCAACTCTTAACAGCACAGGTCACAGGTGTAGCAAACTTGGTGGTTGGAATCCAGTCAGAGCGAAATAGCTGGGCTGGGTGTGGCTCAGTGGTACAGCACATGCTTATCATGCACAAGGCCCGGGCTCCTTTTCTGGGGTGGGGAAGCTCATGACACAGCCTTACTAGGCTACATTTTTTATACACAGTATATATTTGTTATTACTTATTACTATTTTACCACCAAGACAAAGTCACTCGCTGTGTGGACAGAAATTCGTGTTTACACTGAAGTAACTCCAGGAAGTGGACTAGGGTCTGCACATGGTAGGCACGGGGTGCATATGAGCTGATCAGTGAGTGGATGGATGGATGGACTTCACCACTGGACAAAAATTAAAGGACGGGTAATACTTAGTGATGGTGAGGATACCGAGGAGTAGCATCGCACTCTGCTGGAGGATAAGCTGGGATAGCCATTGTAGAGGGCGATTTGAAACTTGAAGTACCCTTCCAAATCCGGACATTCCCTTCCTTCTAGCAACTCAGCTTCTTGTTCTCCCCATCACAATACTAGCTCACAAAGACATAAGGCCAATAATAGTTACAGAAGTATTTTTTAAAAGAATAAAAGAAACAAAAGCAACCATAACACCCATCATTAGATTTGGGTGCTTGGAAAAACACATGCTGCAGACCTCTGTTGACAATGCCTTTTATACAGGTAGGTTCCAGACTAGAACGGTCCTTTTTGCCTTTTCGAAGGGAATATTATTCCGAGTGACACACACTCCTGCTTGTACACGCTAGTCAGTCGTGGCAAACCTTTCAGAGATCGAGTGCCCAAACACAACCCCAAACCCACTTGTTTATCACAGGGTGCCAACACTGCAATTACACTTGAATGCTCAGCGGCTGGGGCGATGCTGGGGCTATTGGCTCAAGTGCCAACAGAGAGGGTTCCACGTGCCGCAGAGGCATGCGTGCATAGGTTCGCCACCACGGTGCTAGGTGGTACCTGACAGGATGTCTTCAAGCTTCCATGGTGCTCACCTCTGAGAGGGGGCGGGAAGGCAACTTCGCTTCGTGATTTAAATACTTCTGCGCTATTTCAGTTTTTCGGTCATAAATTATTTACAAAATAGTTTTGAATGCCACACTTCTCAGCCTAAAAGTAATAAAGACAGCTGTGAAGGCTAGGTGTGAGCAATGACTCTGAAGCTTATCGTGTGAGCTTGAGCACTTTGTTTTTGCTAAAAATCAAGTCCCTCACTGACAAGGCAGTGGGCAGCACTGGCTGGGCACCTGGCTGTGCCGCTGTGCCGCTGTGCCCCTGTGCCCCTGCAGAACAGCAGGTCACTCAAGGATGGGGCTGGGAGGGCCACAAGATGCCACTTGGCGTCCTTCCGTACAGATGGGACTGGGCTCCTCGAAGCCTCCTCCTTTGCTGGCAGGGTGTGGACGCCTGCAGCTGTTGGTGTCACCCGTCCAGGCTTCCCCATCCATGCCAGTATTGGAAGGTGTTTATGTTTAGGATGCTGAAAAGCTTCCCCACAGCCAGGCCGCTGCAGCTCCCAGAACCACTTCTCAGAGCTAAGTGCCGAGACCTCGGCCCGAAGTGAGAAATGATAAAGAACAAAGACTGTTGCATGGGGCGACGGAACAGCTCCCTGAAAAGCTGTGGGAAGAACGCTCGGGTGTACAGAAGGAACACAAGGAACAGAATCTAATATTTCCCAGCTTTGGATCGCAGCAGTGAGAAGTGAAAATAGCAGCTATCACTCTGTTCCCTTCCAAGCATTTGTCTGGCAGCTGCTATTGTCTGAGGGTGCGTTTCCTTCCCTTTCAGTCTCTGTGCCTCAGTTCCCCCTCACTCCCCAATCTCACGGTATTGTTCTCCAAATGCTGAATTCTCCCTCCCATGGCCCTCGCTGGCTCTGTTTCCCACCTAACCCAGGAATTTCACCTTCCCATATACAGACTTCAACATGTCCCTCCCCTGCTGAAATGTTTCCTTGGACACACAGGATGACGGCTCACTTCATCAGTGTGGTACCCAGGACTCCTTCTGAAATCCGGTTTCCTCCCTTGGCCACAAGAGAAAGAACAGAATATGTGGTATTAAGGGACTTCGGTTCAAGTTTAAGCTGTAATTAGCTTGTTTGAATTTCTTAACCTCTTTTAGCTCCATTTTCCTCCTTTGTAAAATGGGATTAATAATAAGCCTGCCTCTCGGGGTTACTGCGGGGACTAAAGAATCTAAGCAGTAGACACTGCAAATACAATAATCACACTAACATGGATGGAGAGCATATATGAATGCAAACCTCACAGCGACCCGTTTCCATTTCCACAATGAGATAACCAAGATGCACCTGGGTCTGCGAATGCATCTTACGCAGCCAGAGGCGGAGCAGCCTGCAGCCCTGTCGCAGGACACGTGACTGCCAGCCCTCCCGTGTCGCACAGCACACTACACACAGCCCCACCGCTGACCATGTGACCCTGCCGCCCTTTTCTGCACAGCTGAATATTTCACGGATTTCTGCCCCATCCCACCAGGCAGACCTGATTCTTCTCTTGCCCCAGCATTCAGCACCCTGGGAGGGGCACAGTGATATTTCTTGAATAAATATGATCTAATTTAGGATTACTCAAACTTACTCATTTATAGGACTCACTGTCCTGGTCTGGATCCAGGGTACCCCCAAAGCCTGGGACACTCATAGATGCAGCTTTTGGGAGGATCACCAGGCGCTGCAGCTGACTTCCTGTTAGAGCTGGGGCCTAGGTGGAAGAGGCGGGTCACTTGGGTCATGACCTGGAAATCCATCCTCCCAGCTTCCGGTTCCTGGCTGCCATGACTGAGCAGTTATCAGAGGAGGGGGCTTGGGAGATGTCTGGGAGATGTGGGCCAAAAGTTAGAAAACTGGTTAGGAGGAAACATTTAAGAGACCTGTTGTATATCATGGTGACTCTAGTTCATCTTATACTTGAAAATAGCTATGTGGGTCGATTTTAAGAGTTCTTAGAGAAGGCAACAAGTATACAGAGTAATGCATGTTATATAGCTTGATTTAGATATTTCACAGCATATAAATATATCAAGGCAACAGGCTGTTCAACATAAACATAGAATTTTTGTCAATTAAAAGTCAATCAATCAGTCTGGGGATTTAGCTCAGTGGTATCACCGCCTACCTTGCAAGCAAGAGGTCCTGAGTTCAATCCCTGGTACCAAAAAAAAAAAAAAAAAAAGTCAATCAATGAAAACAAATGCCCCTGCCAAACTTGCTGAGTCAGTAACCCCTTGGGTGGGTGGGGCCCTGGCCTGAGGGGTTAATGGGCTGCTAGGTGATTCCTGTATCAGGTGCAGCTGGGAGGTTCTGGCCTAACTCAACAGCAACACCCACGGGTGCACACCTGGTTCCAGGGAGCTTTTCAAATCCGTCCTCCCACTCCTATCTCCATGTCCCTCCAGGTTAGGATTCATAAAATTTAAGGTATGTTTTGAAAAAGCTTCTTAAATGACCCTTATACATTCCCTTCCCTGCCTCAATTTAAAAACCCACTTACAAGTGCTTCATAAATTTGCACTGTGACCCCAACCTCCACTCTCACCCCAAAAAGAGACTGAGATGTGCACAGTTGTCACCTCGTCTCATAATGGTGCCAAGGACAGAACGGTGCTCAGCAGGAACTGCCCGGTGGGATGAAAAACTGACTCTTCTCATTTCATTTCCCATCTAACTAGCTTTGGAGCCTGGCCTGTATCCAAGCCTACTCTTTTGATTAATTTGCTGTGTCTTCTTCCTTAGCTCTCTCCTCACCCTGGACTCCATCGTCAGTGACTTCAAAACCCACCCTCGATGGAACCCCAGGGCTTTTCAGTCTCTACCTTGTCACTCCGCACTTGCCCTTGGTCATGATTTACACTCAGCAAGATCATGTCTACTGCATACGAATCCTGGGTTTCCAGGCTATGACCATGGGGTACATGAGGACCACCCTGTGGAGAACATCTCCCCGACAGACCTCCACAGGTGCCCGGCATCCGCTTCCTCCCAGTGTGGACCGATGTTTGCAATGCCAGCATTTGCCCGGGCAGCGAGCAGGACTGGGGTCCCCATGGCTCTGGTGGGCGGGGGCTGTGAGGAGACCCTCAAGAGCATGGTGGGGCTGGGGAAGGCAGTGCCCAAACCCAGCTCACCATGAAACACTTTTCCTGCTAACACAGGGATGAAATTAGACACCGTTCATGGCATTTCTAACTCGAGCTCTCCTTCGGTGCAATGATGTGCTTATTCTTGTTGCTGCTCATTTGACTCTTCACCCTCTCGTTCACTCTCTCAGACACTCTATTTCTCTTCCTGTCTCTATCTATGATCCTTAACCCTACTACTCTCCCTGAAGATTTTCTGGATTTTTGTTCCTGCAATTCTCCTTGAATGTTCGATGTGTCAGTAAAGGCCAAAAAAAAGACAAGGAGAAAAGACTTCAGGTTGAAATGCATGCTTTGCCTGTTGTACCGCTGTCTCATGTGTGCAGTCGTGTGTTTGTGTGTGCGCACACTCACAGAGCTGCGTGTGTGAGAGAGAGAGACGGAGAAAGAGGAAGAGGCAGCCAAGGAGAGATATGCAGGGAGGGTGACTGCTTTTCTACTTCCCTTCAAGAGAATTAGGGGTTCGCTGTATTACGGGATTACACAATGTGGGGCTCAGATTTGCTACTTTTCTTTCAGTCTTTTCTTTCTCTTTTCCTCTCTCCCTCTCTCTAAGTTGCTCTGAACTGCAAGGAAGGCAAAACAATCTGTCATTGTCTGCCATGTGCACAGGCACTGCCAGGCCGGCTGCCAGGGTTAGTCCTAATGTGATCAAAAATGGTCCAGTTACAAAGCCACTGAAAAAACCGGTTTTCTACAGGAAATAGCAATTTATTAAAATCAGGCTCCCCAGATGCCATGGCTGTTAGGCTGGTGGTGGGCCAGGTCAGCAGGGCTGGCAGGGCAGGAGGCAGACAGATGTGATCTCCGGGGTGTGCGTGCATGCACATGTGCACAGGCCCTGCAGGGGGCAGCTGTCAAGCGAGAAGAATCTCCAGGTGGTGCCACCACCAGGAACACCAGGATGCAGTTTCCCGGGCCTCCTGTCCCGGGTGTTCTGGGGAGTGCTGTTGGTGAATTCTGCCCCTTCCTGGCTCCTGAACTCCCCTGCAGTTTATCTCTGGTCCTTTGTCAGATTTTTTTCCTAGCAGAATAAACGTTAAGATTTCTATAGGATATCGGGTTCTACTCTCATGGAGATTCGTAACTTTGTTGAGCTCTGGCGCCGGCCTCTCTCCAGTGGGAAGAGCAGTGACCCAGAGCTGGGGCCTGGGGGGCAGGAAAAGGCCAGCACTGCGGGAGTAAGAAGTGCACCGAGGCACCTTGGCAGGACTCGGGGAGTCCAGTGCCCAGGGCCCCCACTTGGGCCCCCTTTTCCCTCCCTGCCCTGCTTCCTGCCCAGCTCGACTCCTCTGGAGTTCTCTGAACCACCTTTGGGTTTAATTCTTTTCTCCCTCTTTCCATCATCTTTGGCGCCCAGAATTGCAGCTTGCATTTACTGAGCCTGAGGCTGAACAAAGCACGGGTTATTTCACTCCAACAGCAATCTGGGAACCACACGCGGCTACCTTCTCCGCGCGTGGCGAGGGAGGCGAGGCTCCGAGAGGTGAATTAACCTGCCCGAGTCCATCACACAGCCAACAAGCGGTGGGGCACAGGCTGGGAGTGGGTCTGGCTGGACCCAGTCGCCAGCTTCGCCCATTTCAGATCAGATCCAGCTGGCCATGAACTGTCTGTCACCCGAGAAGGACTAAACGGCAGCGTGCCTGGGAGGATCTCAACTCAGCAGCGTCTCACCGCAGACAAAATTTCTTGATCACCCGTGGTGGGAATGGTGCTGTTGTCCTCCATGCCAACCACAGACTCTGAGCTCTCTGTCCTGAGACCAGTTCAGCTCTAAGTCTTGTCCACGTAGTCTCCTACACAGCTCCCATGTCCATCCACTCTGTCCCCTCGGCCCTGCCACGGGCTGTTCCCGTTACTTCTTACCTGGAAACCCCAGCCATGCATGACCTTGCCCCTGCCTGCCTCTCTTGCCCCATTTTTCTTACCTCTTGTCCGTCAACTACACCACAGTTGTACTGAACTACGAGCAAGTCCACTTGTTCCGGACTCAGCTCAGTGCTGCTTTCCCTGAGCCCTGAAGTCTGGGTTAGGGTGTCGCCCGCCCTATTACATCCAAGTTGGTTTGAACCCCATCCACTATCCCACTTCTCCTTATGCCTCTGTACTCCTGTGCTAATCAGAAGCTCAGTGAAGACAGAGCCTATCATTAGCCCTGGTATTTAATACACATAGGTTTAATGAATTTTTACTTAAATTTAAGAATCAATAAGAGCATCAGCCAATGGTCTCCTGTTCTCCACGGTCCCAGCTAGCTGAATACAAGTCCCCTTCCACAGTCACCTCCACCGATCAGACTAGACTCTTAGTTCCTGAAGAGTAAAGTGCAGGGTCTGCTCTTCTGTCCATCCTCTGCTGTGACTGCCACATTCTCCCTTCTGCAGACTCATTTATTCAGACACCAAAAGAGTACAAGGTCAGCTCTCTCCAGCCCAATCTCACCCGAGCCTCACGCCAACCGGGGATGGCAATGCGACCCCTTCATCAGACGGGCAACAGCTGCTCCGCCACGCTTCCTCTTAGGGAGGAGTAACACCAGGCAACATCGCCCGAGTAACGACAGAGCATGGCAGACCTGTGTATGCAGTGAGGACACCGGGGCTACTCTGTCTCCACCGGGAAAGCATCACTCTTTCCGCTTTCTCCCATTGCCTGTTCTCGGCTGCTTTACAGAGAGACTTTAAATCAATATGTAAGTATGTATCGAGCGCCCGGAATATGCCACTATCCAGGGGACAAGGGATACAGCACTGAAGAATACAGCACAAAATCCCAGTCTTTATGGGATATAAATTCTAGAGCTAGGAGACACGAATGTAAATCTCCAAATCTGGTTATTCTAAAAGATAAATCCAGTCACACAACACGGACATGGCCTGCTTTTTCCCAAATAAACAAAGACCATGGTCTTGGCATAAAACTTATCCAGAGCAGGCCTAGTGTTTCACACTTCACGTGGAGTAGAGCAACTGTCTGTCCTTGAAGTGGCCCTTCAGTCTACCACAGTGTCTGGCCCGGGAATGAACAACCAAGTTTTGTTTCCAGTAGTAGAGGTTTACATGGATTCATCTACCCTCTCTACAGGAGCGGGCAAAACGAACACACTTCTTTCTCCTCCCTGCGTTCATGCCCTTCACAATGCACCTTAGCAGCCTTCTCCCCTAGAGACGGGGTCCGTCCGCCCTCCCGGTTAGCCTGGTCCGACCTTGTGACCCATTTCCCTCTCACCCGCCCTGGAAACCTGTCCAGCTCCCACGGCCAAGCCCGTGCTCCGGAAAGGACCACAGCGCAGCTGCCTTCAGCCACAGGACTACAGACGCCCTTCTGGCCACAGGAGAACCGAGGCTGCGCCCCAACAAGCCGCCGAGAGGAAGAATTCGGACCCCAAGGCAAGGCGGTGGTTCAAGCCACAAAGCTCAAGGGCAGTTTGTTACACAGTAAATTTAACCCACCCACTTTTGTGATCAAATCCACCACTGTGCTCTCCTAGACCTTAGGAGGGATGTAATGGGATCCATCTGTATTCAAAACGAACCCCCCCTAGAAATCAGAAGAGCAGAA